TAAATCTTTATTGGTGAAAAAATATGGACAGAACAGAAGAGGGGGTGGGGCTAGCTTGCTAGCATTAGCAGCTAGCATTAGCATTAATTTTCTTTTCTCTTTTTAATGGTGACAAAAACATGGAACAACAGAGGGGGTGGGTCTAGCTTGCTAGCATTAGCAGCTAGCATTAGCAGCTAGCATTAGCAGCTAGCATTAGCATTAGCATGTTTTTTTTTTAAATCTTTATTGGTGAAAAAATATGGACAGAACAGAAGAAGGGGTGGGGCTAGCTTGCTAGCATTAGCAGCTAGCATTAGCATTAATTTTCTTTTCTCTTTTTAATGGTGAAAGAAACATGGACAAACAACAGAGGGGGTGGGTCTAGCTTGTTAGCATTAGCAGCTAGCATTAGCATTAATTTTCTTTTCTCTTTTTAATGGTAAATAAACATGGACAAACAACAGAGGGAGCGGGGCTAGCTTGCTAGCATTAGCAGCTAGCATTAGCATCAATTTTCTTCTCTTTTTAATGGTGAAAAAAACATGGAGAAACAACAGAGGGGGCGGGGCTAGCTTGCTAGCATTAGCAGCTAGCATTAGCATTAATTTTTTTTTCTCTTTTTAGTGGTGAAAAAAACATGGACAAACAACAGTAGGGGCTAGCTTGCTAGCATTAGCACTATTTTTTCCCTCTTTTTAATTGTGAAAAAAACATGGACAAACAACAGTAGGGGTAGGGCTAGATTGCTAGCATTAGCTTCTTTTTTACAATAACTGGTTACAATTATAATGCTAACAGCCCAGGTGACAGTTCAAGGCAGAGACGGGGAAGAACACCTCCTGTCCTGGGACGGAGAGTCTCCAGAGGTGAGATTCACTTCAGATATCACTGTTTCCTCTAATGAATATCAGATCTATATTAACACACACTGCTCTCTGATTATCTTTCAGCTGTCTTCTTGGACTGAACTCGGGCCCTGCAAACTGGGCCAGTGTTAGCCGCCTGGTGGAGGCCGTTCGCAACCAGCTCTGTGTCTTCACCCGGTGGCCACGTGGTCGAGAGGGACCGTGAGGACTCGGTGGTCATTCATTCTCAAGGATTATGTGGCATCAGAGAGGCAGTGCTGGCTGGCCCCAGGTTGATGGCTCAGACCAACATCCAGCTCTTTGAATTGAATTGAGGACTCAGTGGTAAGAGTTTGTAAGAGTCTGTTCTGTGATTCATCTATTAATGAAAGCTGAAAATCATAAAACAGTCTGTTTACCTGTGTGTCCAGGTGCTGGCCAGACTCTCCCTTCAGCAAAGGATCTGTCCTTGGTCCAGGTGGGACAAGGACAGCCCTTTGACTTCAATGTCCTGGAGGAGCAGCCTGGGCCCTCCAGCAGGGGTCTGCCTCCTCCTCCTCCTCCAGACGATGAACAGCATGGCCCCTCATCCAGTGCTGTTGGTCCTCCCCTCGCTCCAGCACCACTCCCCTCCTCAGTTCATCCAGGACCAGAGCCTACAGAAAGAGGAAGGCGGCCCGAAGCTGCTGTGGCAGAGCGGGGGCCGCTGCCTGGAGGAAAAACCCTCCGTCTGCCGACATCATACATCTACAGCAAGTGTGTCCAACCCAGAAGGATTGACACTGACTTCACTCACATTGCAGGTGTGTCACACTGTGACTGTTGGTGGAAAGACTGTGGAGGAGTGGAGGGAAGAGATGAAGAGAAGACAGGACAACGTTTTCTATCTTCATTTATAACTTTTAATTGACATTATTTATAATTATTTGATTTGTTGCAGTTGGAGTGGTGTTTGTGTCAGCTGATGTCTCATGATGATCTCAGTCAGTGTTCCCTCTCTTTTAGCTCTGTGTTTGGTCTCCACCAGCTCCTGAGGGAAATCTGTCTCTTTAGCTGCTAAATGCTCCACTATGTTCAGCAGCTGCTCTCGGACCGTGTCTGTCTGCTGTTTGCTGCTGAGGAGGTCGTGGACAGTGGCTACGGCTGAAGAAGTTTATATATTCAAAGATGACAAAGACGGTAACTGAATCATTATTTTACTGGAAAGTTCTTTTTTCTTTTAATGATATTCTTAAATTGCATTCAGGATGGTGCAGTTGTAAAGACTGGACACTCGACTGTTTCCCTGGTAAAAATGTTGTAAAAATTAGTTCACTGGACACAATGCTGTTTTACTGTATGTGAAGGATTCATTTAATAATTGTGTTTCTTCTCTTTTACTTCTTGCAGCTAACAATCATGTGCTGGTGGTGCAGTGGATTGTATGGACATTCCCGGCTGAGAAACAATATATTGGCTACGTGATCGTGAATTTCTTTAGCGATTTTGAGTAACCAGGCGACGTAAATGCCATTAGATCAGAAACACACAAAACACACCATCTCCACGATTTGGATTTACCTTTTATTCTCCTGCTCTGTTTGTAAAAACTTTTATGCAATTTTACCTGCAAACAACCAGAAGACCTGACATTTCCAAAATAAAAGAGTCTCAAAAAGATCAGAATGTCATAGGTTCAATAAAGTTTTGAAATCCTAGAAGGTGATCCTCTATACATAGTCGGTATAGCTTATTTCAGATAACTTCTGTTAGTGCATGTATGTGTGTGTGTGTGTAGTGTGTGTGTGTGTGTGTGTGTGTGTGTGTGTGTGTGTGTGTGGCGTGTGGGTGTGTATGTACATTGTCCCTTTTTTGCTGTCGGTTGTGGGGACACATTTGTGTTTAAACCCATTAGTGGTGAGGTTATTGGTTGTTTAAGTAACACAAGCTTCTAAAAGGCTTTCCTGAGGGTCACTGCAGTGACTCGGAGGTCAGTGTCAGGAATGAGTCTCTAACGACATGAATGAAACTGCAAAGTAACGTCCTTTTGTGGCAGATTGAAACGGGAGTGAGTTGATGCACTAAGAGCAGGAATCGATTTTAAAAGTTTCTCCAGGAGTTTTCTAGTTTGTTGTTTATTATTCTCTGTCTCAGTTGTTCCACAGATTCGTTTCTTGGCCTTTTACTTCATTTCTACTGTTGTTGATGGCATGACAGTAACAACATGTGAAGAGCTCTAGGAACAGTCACCACTTCACAGGTGAAAGTATCCGACCAGTTTAACAATTCAACACGGTTGTTCAAGATGGGAAACAGCATGGAACTGACACCACCAGAACTGCAACTTGCGAGCAACCAGGAAACTTCTTTCATTAGATGTTTGATTCGCTGTGACCTCAAGAAGATTGGAATCGTGTTTTACATTTCTCACACATCTTTTAGTGGTTGAAGCTGAAAATTTTGACAGTTTTCAGCTTTGTTGAAGGCAGGTGTCAGTGTAGTACAGCTCATGTTCATTAGTTTTATTCACAACTTCATCGCTGTCATTGAAAAGGTTTTTAATAAATAATCCTGTGATTAAATTGTACTGAGTATGTTTCTTCATATTTACCATCTGCCTCATGATGAATCTAACAGTCACTTTGGTGAATCAGTGTTTTCATTGTTATTAAAATTAGTAAGTTCATAAGACAAATTAGAAAAGCACAAACTCTAGTATCTGTCTCTAGATCCTGTATTGTCACTGTTGAAGGACGGACACATTTAAACATTTCTATCATGTTTGTTGTTGATTAAAGCAACATAGAAAGTCTTTGATTAATTACAGATTCAGGAAAACCTTCAGTGTGTTGTGATTTCTATACTGTGCTGCTGCTACTGTTAAATTTCATACCAGACACGCTCCATAAAAACCATCAACAAAGCAAAGCTTCATAAAAACTTTATTTCACATTAAAACTGCATTAATTTCAACAATTTACAATCAAGTGTAACTGACAAATTAAAACTAGAATACAGCTGTGAATGAAGGTGCAGGTGAACTTCACTGTCACAAGTCTGCATCATAAAGAGGTGGATAAATCTTATTTAGTAACAAGTATAAATTAAATAAAAAAACCAAGATGGCAACGTCCAGTAACCCAAACTTGAGGCTTCAAAACAGCAGTTCACGAACCAATGGGTGACGTCACGGCAGTTTGCCACTTGGCCGTAAGTCAGTTTGAACTAAATTTGTAGTGTCGGTGTTTCGCCTCTGGGGGGCAGTATAGTGACGTATGATCATCTTTATGATGATGATGATAGAAACACCTCAGAGAAATAATCTGCACCTGTGTCAAAGTAAAACTCCAGAGAGACTGTGACCTTCAGGATAAAATATACATTTATATTATAAACAAACTGATTCTGATATAATATGACACCAAGGCTTTAACATAGTGTCTCTGTAAACTCACAGACAGACAGCTCTAGTTAGAAACTTTAAATGGAGGGGGCAACAAATGGATTGACCCCTGATTTATATCAATAAAAACATTATACATTATTAATAGTTATTGATTATTATGAATTATTAGCAATAAATAGCTGCTATTAGTGACTCGTCCTACAGACGTGTGAAAGGCCCCCACCCCTGATACAGACGACCACGTCCCCAGACTCACACTAATCAGCTGTTCGCTGTAAAATCACAGATAAAACTAAGAAAATGACTAAACTGTTATAAACCAGTTTCTTCTTCACTGTACTTTAACGGGTGAGTCGAGGAAACTCTTTAAATCAGATTTTTAAAAATATTTTCACAGTTAAAGATGAAACAGTGATAAACTCAGACACGTTTTTACCTGTGACATAAGATGCTGTGAGACTGTGTGTGTGTGTGTGTGTGTGTGTGTGTGTGTGTGTGTGTGTGTGTGTGTGTGTGTGTGTGTATGACAGCGGAGAACTCCTGCAGTTTAACAAGTAAACGAGAATCCACTGTCTGAATCCTACAAAATAAAAGACTTCCGTGTGAAATGAAAAGTGAATAATCTCCAAAGTGTGGTCACTGAGGAGGGCGTGTGTTTCAGTGGAAGCAGCAGCTGAGGATCCTGGGATATTTTAGGATGATGACGATGATGAAGATGATGACGGGGAGGAGGAGCTCTGACGTCATAGTTATAGGTGGGGGTTTTTTTCAGCTCCGCAGTGCTGCTGTGTGACCTGATAAACCGCTGGAAGCTGCGGAAGGATTGTTACTTTAACTCTTCTCCACTCCTCTTTCTCCTCCTCCTCCTCCTCCTCCTCCTCCTCCTCTTCCTCTCTCTCTTTGTCTCCATGCGGTTCTCCCTCCCGCACCGACACAAACACCGGGCCTTCCTGTAGCCTCCGCCCCGGTCTCCCTGTCCCTCCGGCCGGCGGAGCTTCCCAGCTGAGCCCCGCTGAGGTGGCCTGGTTCCCGGCGAGAGATGCTGTAGAGCAGCCGGCGGAGGAGATGCTTCTTCCGGACTGAAGAGAGCAGAAAGCAGCGGAGGGAAAGCAGGAAGATGTCCGGCAGGATGCCTCTGACCCCGGTGAGCGAGTCCGAACAGGCACCGGTAAGTCTGCCTCAATCCCCAGTCTGGTTCGATTATTGATTATTGATGAAGTTTACGTCCTTTATTATTGATGGAGTTTATTAAATTATGAATGGAGTTGTTTTTGTTATTGATGCAGTTAATTTTTTTTATTATTAAAGGAATTTAAATATTTTTTATTCATGATTAAGTTAAATTATATATTATTTAAGTATTTTAGTCCTAATTACCGTTATTATTATAATTATTCGTTTTATTAATGATGCTGTTTAATTACTTTTATTTTATGATTAAAGGAGTTTAAATATATTTTATTTTTAGTATTGATGAAGTTTATGAATATTGATAGACTTCTACTAGTTTTATTAATGAAGCCATTGAATTGCTTTATTATTGATTTAGTCTATGAGTTTTATTATTAATTAATCATTAAATTATTGCCAGAGTTTATTTTATTATCAATGGGCTTTATTTGTTTTGATGCTGATAGCTTGATAACTTTATTACTCATCAAATTTTATTATTTTATTGTTGATATTTTTTAATTATTGTTGGAGTTTAAATGGTTTATTACTCTCCAGAGTTTTATAGTTTTATTACTGAAGTTTTATTTTTAATTTTTTTTTATTATTGTTGGAGTGTGAACTGTGACAGTGTAAACTGGGAGGAGCAGTTTGGGTGACACCAGTGGGAACAGTCAGGTCAGACTCTCAGTGCCTTGCTCAGAGGGCCGTCGGCAGCAGCAGTGACCAGTTTAAACTGTTAAATATCCAACTTCTCTGAAAATGTTAAAACACATTTTCTCACTTGTCATATTTATCTACATGGGTCCAGGTTATTATTATTCTGTGAGGGGAAACCCCTGAATCCCAAGGCCTCAAAACTAGATTTAAAAGAGCTATTTATAAGTTATCGCTACATAGCTAACGATAGCATTAGCAGCTGTTTACTTACCAGTCTGGAGGAAACCTTCATTCTTTTACTCACCAGCAGCTGTCTCCAGAGGCGGAAAGAAACACTAGTGATAACTCTCATCTCTGGTTAGCATGCTAATCAGCTAGCCACTTTCCGATACCGATTCACTTCAGCCTCCAGTCTGCCCTGAAGACGTAGCGCTGCTCAGAGGACGTATTATTATAATCTCTTGTCTTGTAAAGACAACGATGGCTGAAGGTTTTGTGAAGCGACAAGAAACCACTTTCAGCCGCAGAGAAAACTTACAAACAGCCTCTTTAAACACATTCACATCACAAGGCCTGAAGGTTAAATATCAATGCAGGTGTTTTTATCATTACACAAAAATTCACACTGTCAACCTGGATCCTCTGGAGCCGTGGATCAGGTCCATGAGTTGGTTTTGGTTTTGTCAGAGCAGATTTTGAGATTGCAGAGTATTTTAAAACCCTGTTGGTCTGGATCCACAGACCACACTGGGAACTGGTTTCTTGTGAAGAAATTGTCCCACCTGGATTTAAAGGTGCATCAGTCTTTTTTTCTGTCTCTTTGCAATGGACTAATAAGTGTTTCTGATCAGTCAGTCCTCCTTTCTACACAGGCAGTGCTGACTCAGAGTTCTCTAATGTCCCAGTCGCCCTGAACTACCCACAGCGTGCCCTGCACTTTGCTTTGTTTGTACACACCTGGGTGAACACCTGTGCAGGAATCAAATCACTCTCAGAGCTGATGTGAAGCTGGTGTAGCATCAGTCGGATGTAGAGCTAACATTAGCCACATAAACGAGCTAACGCCTGTTACATCATCAGTGACATCAGCAGCTGCAGCGTCAGTTTGGAGTTAATAATGAAGCTGAGTCACAGTTTGAACAGGAGGTGAAGGTTCAGAGTCTTGTTGTGTTGGAGGTGTATAACATCGTCATGTTGTCGCCTCACAAGTAAAACAAATCAAACTTAATTAAACTGAGTCAGATTAAATAACCGGAGCTGAAAACCTGAACGTTGTTTTGATCTGTGGCTTCAGTGATGTCACAGGAAGTTGACAGATTTGCCCATACGCAAATGTAATATACCTACATATATTAAATTCCTATATATGAAACATATTTACATATGAAGTAAAAACATATATGTTAGAAATTGGAACAATTTCATACATATAGCTTGTTTATCTATGTTTATATATGTATGCTTATATTTTAGACATGTTATATAAATATATATCCATCCCAAAGCCACTCAGTACATATTGATATTATATATGTAAATATTAATGATAGACATGTATATTTAAAATGAATAAGAATTTGAATTTGTATGTTGTATGAATTTGCAGATATAAATTAAATATATATTATTAACAAATATGGATGTAACATGTTATAACATGTAAAACATTTTTGATAAATGGTGATATCACTATGACATCAGCATGTTTGGTTTCCCCTCTATATCCTCCATCGTTCATGTGTGTGTCACGTTGGAGATGATGTCATGAGTGTGCGTCGCTGCATTATGGGGGAAGAAAAACCTGGTCCCAGTAGAGCCGGTACCGTATGGACGCCGTATGAAAAGAGTTTGGGTGGCGATCAGTTATCTGTTTGATGATTGTCGTTTGCTTCAGCTGCCGGTTGATTTCACCACAGACTCAGACCTTTAATATCTGGTGCTGTGGACGGAGCGGGGGACAGGTGTCCTCTGTCGGCCGTGGACACAGAGGTGTTTCATTTCTCTCCGTCATCTGTCAAACACGTGGACTCTGGTTGTTCGGGGTATTTGGATGTTGGCGAGGTCGATGGACCCTGAAGGAATGCTGGGTAAACACAGCCTCCATATTGTCATGCTAATGCAGGAATGCTAACAGCGTGTTGTTCTCAGGCTCCTCTGAGTTCCTCCTGCAGGTCCTCATCACCCGGCCTCACTTCAGTCTCTGAGGGTCTGTAGTAATAACAATAATAATAATAATAATAATAATACAATTTATCTATAGGTGCCTTTCAAAGCATTCAAGGACGCACAGTAAAAGATAAAACGCAATTAAAAGGCATAAAATGCTAAATAATCAAGTACAAGGCATAAAATATAAAACAAATTAGAATAGATATAAATAAAAATAAACATAAATATCATTAAACGCTGGATCGTTCAGTCGGGTCTGAATGTGTTGCCATGTTGAAACCTAAAATATCAGTATTAGTATACTTATAATAACTTTATTTATATAGCACCTTTAAAAACAATATAATTCAGTGTAAATAAGGACAATTTGAGGGCACAGCTGCCTCATGAAAACACACACAGACACAAACACAGTAACAGGAATAAAAGAGCGACATGGAGACGATGAAGAGACGACGTCACATTAAAGCGAGTCAATAAAATGAGTTTGAAGAAGTGATTTAAAAGAAGCTGCAGATTCTGCTCTGGCAGAATAAGGCGATTCTAGTTGTGACACTTTCAGATGAGCTTGTTTCAGATATTACTCAGAGTGTAACTGGATTAATCCTCGCTGCTCGGTCACGTTCTCCTGAGGCTCAGTTTTGATCTTTTCTCCTTCACGTCTCTGTGATGTTCGGCTCCTGCCGTCTGTTTGCTATTGATCTTTCCCAAAATACACTGCAGGATGTGATATCAGGAGCACAGCGATCTGTATTAAACCCAGGCTTCTGGAAGTCACATTCACAGTGATCAGCTGCAGGACGTCACGACAGCGTTTTAACGAGTTTCATGTAAACGCCATGCGACTCAAATCTGTATATGACAAGAGAACTGAGACAAACTGCAATAAACCACTTAACCTTTTATTTTTATATTGCACATGTACAGAACAGCCTGCATTGTTGTTGTTTATAGTATTTCTAATTTATTTTAGATTATGTTTCTATTCTTATTTTTAGTTCTTATTATATTTTTCCACCTTAAACTGTTTCTCTTTTGTGCTGCTGTGTTCAGTTTGAATTTCCTCCACGGGGATCAATAAAGGTTCATCTCATCTCATCTCATCTCATCTTATATTATCTTATTCCATCTTATCTCATCTCATCATATCTTACACTGACTGTTGTTGGAAACTCAACCACCACAAAAATACACTAAACAACTACAACATCGGCTGTTTTTTTATATCTGACAAAAGTAAACAAAATGCGACAAAGTGCAGTGGAAACAGACGTAGTGCATGAATCATGTGACTTCTGCCTCTAGGAGTCTCTCAATCAAAACAATAACAAAAGACGGTATTGGGTGACGTGGTGACTTAGTGTGGGATCATGGGAGTTGTTGTCGTCAGCTTCTCCTGGTTTGGATTCCTTCAGTGTCGGTGGTTCAGGAGGTTTTTAGCAGCAGCTGAATAATCCTTAGAGGTGACCTCCCCTCCACAACAAAGAGACAGGGGATTAAAACCAGTAGAAACACTGAATAAAACAGTTTCATGTTAAGAATCAGTGATTTATCAGTGAAGTTCAGTGACGTCAGGACAGGATGTCTCCAGCAGCTGGGAGCTGAGCTGCCTCACGTTTCCTCAGCTTGTTTCTCTCGTAACTTCATCTGGTTCAAATATAGTAGAAAACCATCCAGGTGTAAAAAGTGAATCTTAAAAATGAGACTTAAAACTGGATGAAAAGTAAATTTTTGCACTCTGACACATGATCATAGAGGATACACGAATCAAACAAATATTTTCTTCGTAGTTTTTTCTTGTTTAAGTTTTGACTTTTTTAATTAGTTGAAGTTTGTTAAAAGTTGTTACATTTTGATGGATACTCAGCTAATGAAACACAAAACGCTGCATCCTCTGGAGGAGTCCCTTTGTCTGTGGCTCTGTCTCCTGTGTAGGTGGTGGAGCTGGTGTGGGGGGGTGGGGGGTGGCGTGGGGGGGGTCCCTCCATGACCCGGGTCACTGTGTCCTGTGCGGTCCTCACACTGAGAGTGAAGCAGTCATTCTCCTCAGTGATGAATCACTCCGCTGAGTTTTTTGCTCAACTGTGAAATCAGCTGCTGGAGGCTTTCTGCGTCACCATGACGACGCACAGGTTTACTATGGAATCCCCCCCCCCTCCCAGTGGGAGT